GCTGATTAACAAGGGTGTAGAAGCACCTAACCCTGATCGTAAGCCTAAACCAGATATTTCCTGAAAAGTTATCTCTTACGGCTGGTCTATGTGGTAATACAGTACATCGGGGAGGGCATCCAAATGCTCGCCTATCATTCAACGATCTCAAATATGGCTTATCATCTGAAATATGTAAGTAGCAGCAAGTTTACATGGCCGCTCAATCTAATATTATCCTAGAGAAATGTGTGCTGTTCAAGTGTCTGTGTGGAGTGTGTAAACTGAACAGTTTGGAGTGTCATGCAGTGAGCAGAATGACCGGTGCGGTCATTTGCTATTAAATACTCCGTCATTTTTGGTCATTCAGATAAGATTAATACATCTTTCAAATCTGTAAAGACTCTAAAGAGGTCTCTGTGAACTTGAGCGCGAAACTCTGTGTAGACCTATAGCCTACTTTCCTTACAGATATGAAAACATTTAGAGAGAGCGACATATCTACTTTCAAATGAACCATTTCAAATGGAAAACAAATAGGCCTATTCTCAGATTATGTAATCCATATGAAACATGCATACAGGTGCGTCCACTACTGCGGAGATGACGAGTCTGTGTCGCCAACTTCATCTCTTAATCCGAAAACAAAGAAAGCACTAGTTTATCAAATTATTAAAATGTTAAAGCATTCTCCTTACTGTTTTTCCCTGACAAATTCATAATCTTAGTTTCTGCCGTTGCGCTGTGGCAAGCTTTATGCGTGTACTTGAGCGCTTATAAGGCTATGTAGGCAATTAAAGGCTCATTATAATGATTTAAATGGTTTATTAATAAACGTTTGATTAGTCGACTAATGCTTCAAATGAACGACTACTAGTCGACCAGAAAAATCCTTAGTCAAGGGCAGCCCTAAACACAAGTTATGTAATCAGATTACTTTTTCAAGTAACTAGGAAAGTAACACATTACTTTTAATTTTACAAGTAAATATCTGAGTTACTCTTTCAAATAAGTAATGCAAGTTACTTTGTTTTCCCATTTATTCACTGCACCTATCCTGTTCCCATGTTTAGAGAAATTGGGAGTGAGGTGCAGAGGCAGACGCACTTCCTTCAGCCTGAGGCTTATTCATTTAATTTTGGTGTAAAAGGGCCTTTACAGTTGTCAAAAATACAACTTTTGGGTTTTCTGTTAATAAAAATAAATAAACAAGCCCAGATCAGGTGACAAAAAGTAACACAAATAATGCATTACTTTCCATGAAAAGTAACCGAGTAACTCGATTAGATACTTTTTATGGAGTAACGTAATATTGTAATATTGTAATGTATTACTATTAAAAGTAACTTTTCCCAACACTGCCCATGGGCAATGAAAATACTAGAAATATTGATACAGATATCTCAATTCTGTTTGATTCCAGGTCACAATATGTCTTGGTTCAGATTACGATTACGATTTATTTTGGCTATAACGTCCATTTTGCTTACATATGAACCAATTTTTTTTGTAACTGCTAATGGTGTAATTATACAGGGTGGTGTTGATACTTATTCAAGAAACTCGTCTGTTTGAACGGGAAACGTAAGTAGCAACAGATATTCGCTTCCAGATATTTGCTGTGGAATATCCAAGTGTAACGTATTACTGTAAAAGGAAAAATGCAGGACGCGACTTGGTTCTATTATTGTTGATTGGATTTTAAGATGTGGGCATGGCATTCAAAAATAAAGGCAGATAAACGCAAGATTGCAGAGGTAGGGTTTAAGCAGACAAAATGATTGGATACATTTTGCATATGTCACCAGAGAGACATCTGTCTGTTCGGAGAAAGACTGGGTGAATATTAATTTCATGAAGACTTTAAAAGATCCAGCTCCTTAGGGTAATTTGTTTCAAGAATTAGACTGTTTGTCACAATGTATGTTTTTGATTCATGCTGCATTTTATTTTTATTCTGAAAAAAACTCATAATCATCATTTGTTCAGTCATTTGTTCATAAATCTATCTGACTAACATTGTCTGTTTTTAATTAACTAAAAAAAGAACCAGTTATAGTGATTTGTCACGGGAATCGGGCTACACTGGTCGTGCTATGTTTTTGATTCAGTAAAATGAATCAATAAAATTATTTTTCAAAGCCGTAATTACAGATTATTGGAGTGTTTTACAAGAAAATACTAGTTTAATCTTTCTTCTTCAAAATTGTAAATTTAATTCAATGCACTATGTAATTCTAAGTGTCAGAGAGGAGGTGGAAATATTAACAAAAACGAATAAAATACAATGTAAGATATGATTCACTCTCAGAAAAAAAGGTACAAAAGTTGTCACTGGGTCGGTATCTTTTCAAAAGGTACAAATATGCACCTTTAAGGTACCAATATGCACCGTTTAGAGCTAAATGAGGTACAGAGTTGTACCTTTCGAAAAGTACCGCTTCAGTGATAACTTTTGTACCTTTTTTCTTTTTTTCTGAGAGAGTTTAATATATGAAAACTTGACTTTCACTTGTGATGAGTTGTTGAGCCTGGTAAAACAACAGATTCCCTCCAGATAGAAGACTATTAAAGGCAATCAATAGAAAGACAACTCAGCCCGACCCATGTTAAAGTTCTAAATCACTCAAATGGAGCAGGCAGAAATGACCAGTTATGAGAGATTTCCTTTATTAATCTTAAAATGTCACATGCTTATTGAAGATATTCCCAAGGGAATGCATTTCATTTTTATTTTTATTTTTTTCAAAACAAAGAAAATCACACAAGGCTAGAAATTGTTGTGAAGCTCAGCATGTTATTTAATTTGTGAACTTCAATCCAGAATGCCTGTTATGACATCTCATAATCATGAAATATTTATGACGCCCTGGGAGAGATATTGAGAGCCATGTAATTGGCTTACATCAGCATAGCAGAAGCTCTTGGTCTTGTTTCAAGACAAATGGGTGACAGTTGGTTTCCTGTCTGGGCTCAGTTGTTTTTTTTACCACTGATTATCACATCCCTCATTCACTCTCTCTACTTACTCAAAAGGCAATATGCTTTTTATAAATCTGCAACTACTATATATGAGAAGGATTTTTCATTTTGGAGTGATCTGTTAGTTTAACCATTCACCAGTTATACAGTAAATGACTCAAATATTTAAGAAACTCTCATTACAAGTCTTTCTGTTCATTTAAAGTCTTGCTAATTTCCTAAATTTGTCAGTGGTTTAGTTAATAAATAAACATCTTTCTACACAGCATCCAAAACAATGATGAATTAAGATATGCTGCTAGCAGTGACCTTGTTTTGCCGTCGTCCATCCTTACATTGCCATCGGCTACTGCCAGTTTGTGCCTAACTACTTGCACTGCTTAAACTGGATAATCCCCTGCTAAAATATATTCCATTGCTTTAAATTATCTGCATGTCTTCAATGCGGCAAGAGATCAAATATAGCCATAGCATTCTTAATCCACTCATATCACGACTGCCAATGTGCAAGTTCCAAGAATTTGTTTTTTCATTCTGAAAATCTTGTATAAGACAGCCAAGATAGAACTGAGTTAGGGAAAAAAATAATAGAAGAGAAAAATAGCTGTTCTCTAGCGAAAGAAGCACATCATATTGTGTTTTTCACTTGTGGATAATCTGCCAGAAACAGTTTGAACGCACCTTGTTAACAGAGCTTGTGACAAAATAATTGACTTATGGAGCATAAAATTAGATGGATTCACAGGTAAAGACCGGAAGAAAACTCATCAACATGCACTCATTTCATGTTCCCAAACCAGCTCCAAGTCATTTACATTTATCCACAAGGATGGCTAGAAAAAAAACCCATGACATTCCTATTAAAAGTAAATGAAGTTGGTATTTCTTAGTGGCTTTTAACTATTTGCTTTGCTTTGAAACATACACTTAAAAATAAAGGTGCTTTAAAAGGTTATTTACAGCAATGCCATAGAAGAACCATTTTTGGTTCCACAAAGAACCATTCAGTCAAAGGTTTTTTAAAGAACCATCTCTTTCGTACCTTTTTATAATCTGAAGAACCTTCTTTCTCCACAAAGAACCTTTCATGAAACAGAAAGGTTCTTCAGATGTTAAAGGTTCTTTATGGAACCATTTAGACAAAAAGGTTCTTCTATGGCATCGTGAAGCACCTTTATTTTTAAGAGTGTATATAGAAGTCAGGTCAGGCAGAGCACAAGAATAGCTTGGAACAAACCTGTTTTTCAACCAGAAGACGAATCAGAATAATTGGTTTATACAGATTACTTGAGTGTTTTCTTAGTTCAGCTGCTGGTCTCTCTATTTTTTAGTGCTTTTGTGCTCATACTAATCAAGACCTGGAGAAATGCTTGTGTCAAAGAACATCAAAGAAAAAAAAAAGGATCTGAACATAAAAGCATTTCTACTTCACATTGATGGCCTGACCATACGACCATTATCCTGCTTATTATGGAGTTTTAGTAAATGGAAAGGCATTCAATATTGATTTGAGATTAAATTATTTGAAGATGTGTGACCAAAAGGCTTCCAGATCAAGGTTGCCATTGTCATATATAGTTATACAAACAAATAAATAAATACAAATATTGATGCTGAATTCCACGATTGAGTCAGAATCAAATATTCAGGAGCTGTCTTATTCAAGCAAGACATATTTTTTCATATGAGGTTCAGGTAGAAATAGCTCTGTGAAGTCGTTGTTGGTGACCATACCTTTAATGGTATACACTGGATCTCTCTTGCTATTGTATAGTGATTAACAGGGTGTCATTTATATTCATCAACAGTCTTGGTTGGTAGGGGGGTGTTTACCGCAGCAGGTTTGCCTCCGGGTCACCTTTATTATGACTGTAGAGGACCTGAGGGCGGGAGCGCACAATCATCACGGTCTGTGATATTTCTCAGGGACCGAGCAGCTCTGAGACTCTCTACTGCGGCGGCGAGCACGGCTTTCCTCTCACGCAAAGCCCTTAAGACTCAGTGTTGTTTTTTTCTTTATTTTTTTCTTTGCTTACCTCTGGTCGATAAACTCCGCATGATCTAAACATTATTGTTCCAATTATGCGACCCAGAACAACTTTTGCCCTCATCTTCAGTCAGTTGCTTGCTGCGTAGCGATAATTCATTCATATTCCGTTTGAACGACGGATGGCGATCATGTTCATTGCTGTTGGATGTACACTGGTTTGCCGTGTTGTTGGATTAAACGGGGGACTCAGCACGTTCTAAAGTGTTTTGCGAGATGGAGTCGGATTGATAATGATTTTAGTTGGGCTGTAATACTGCTCGTACTAAAGGTAAAAGTCTTCGTTGGAGAGGATCCTGAGAGACTGAGTATCTGTGCAGTAACCGCAGGGATTAAACGCGAGTGGAATCAAAAGCGCGCGGCTGATATGGGTGAGTACCTGGCATCCTGGGATAAAGTTTATAGTATTGATGAGGATTCATTAATTTTATATTTCAAATCGATGTAATATCATTTGCAGATTAAAAACATTAATCGGTCCATTTGTGTAAAATGAAAGAGGGCTATAAAATGCACTCTTAAATCTTAACATACAAAATTAGAAATACAAAATTTTCTTCTGTATTTGTTAGACAGGTATTATTCATGGGAATATGAAAATCACCTCAGGCTCAGGTATTATAGCCTAGCGTCGCATTTCAAATAAATGTTGGCTTGTCTGTCAAAATGGTTGGCCTTTATTGTCATTTCAATGTACGAATTGATGGGAAGTTCGATTTTATCGAATCGGTTATTTTGAACAAATCATTTCAAAGAAGCGGTTCGAAAAACTGCGTTTTACGTAAGCACGTGGTCTCCGACAGTGTGGTACAGATAAATCTCTTTTTATGCACATATTGCTTTTTATTACTGTTCTTCCGATTGTGTTTTTGTTAATATGTGTATTTATTTTTATGTCTTGTCCCAGTTTAGCTTGCAGCAAAAAAAGACCCTAAATAAAATTAGCATTAAACTGTACTAAAATTTGTCTCCTATGAAAAATGTAGCATGTTTTAATAAAAATACTATTTGAACTCACTTATAAAACGGCTCTTGAGAATCAGCTCACTCGGTTACCCACTCGGTTCCCTCTCAATTCACTTGCTGAGCTCTTTTTTAAAATGATTGTTATTATTATTGTTTGTTGTTATTATTATTATTATTATTTTCTTGGTGAGCCGTTAACTGGATCACTGGGAGTCGGATAGTCTGAAAGATCCGATGTGACTAATGCTCTTACTGATTCATTTCGTGGTCCAGACCGATTTTGTCAACTGTTTAAACGGTTCATTAAAAGATCCGACTATGAAAACGATTTGTTCACGAATCTGACATATAATGTGTTGTTGACAGATGACGAAATGTAGGTAATGAAGCAAACAGAAGAAGAAGAAAAAAAAATAAATAAATAAATAAAAAAATAAAAAAAAATATATATATATATAATAGCCTAGGCCTAAGCTCACCACCACCTTTCCTTTTTAAATAGAATAAGAAATGTCCTAAATGTGTTTAATAGTTCAGTGGAGCATCCAGTTGCTGAGGAAGATTTTAGTCTGTTCCATTCGCTCTTCATTTTCTCTACCTTTTTTTTTGCCCTCAAAACAATGAAATCAATGTGATATCTTAAAAACATTAATATTTCATTGATGTATATTTTAATGTAGAGTTAGATATAGATTACCTGGCAAAACACTGTTTTCACAGTGCAGCATAATTTCATATGTAGCCTACAGGGGAGAGCTGGGGCTAGTTGTCACACTTTATACACAAGTGATTATTTCTCAGGGTAAGTTTATTTCTTTAAAAGGACAAGATCTGAATAGTTGCTTTAAAGCCTGAGCTACAAAAAAAGCCAGTGAACATTTCCACTGTTATTGCCCAGAAAAAAAAAACAGACACACTGTAAAGACTCACTGACCTTTGCCCAATAGTATACATTTATAACATAAAACACATCTTGCCCTGACTTGACATTCATGAAAAATAACTTGTCCTGACTTCTCAGTTCAGCCTTTTATAGTTGAGTCCTCTGTTTATTATAGTTGACCGTTGTCTGAATCTATGTCAGCGTGGTTTTATTTATACATAATTTGATCTTCCTTGTACTGTATGACTGTATGCATATTATATAAATTAAATTGTATTATGGCTTGTAATGCTTTTACAGGGAGGGTAGTGACTCTTACATGGTTCTTCATGTTTTAAACATTCTAATTGTCTATCTAATTCAATATTGGATTCCAGAGTCCCAAACATACTAACCAAGCTAACATGATTTCACATTTATTCCTGCTGAGTAGAGATAGTAGTAGATAGTATGGGCCATGGCGGGGTCGGGATGGTGGATTGCACTTAGAAATTGCCAGTTGCCATGAAAATACTTGTCTACATGAATCAGATCCATTCTTGAGGCCATTATGTTGATCACTAGCTCTACATACATACTTCAAAAGCCTACAAGGAAGGCTTATATTAAAATTACAGTGCTTTATCACTTTATTATACTGAAAATGACCATTTAATATGTCAGCCCATGCATTCCGAGAAGATCCAAGGATTTAAATCCAACTGTAGACTAAAGATCTCTTTTCTAACATAAGAAAAATGTTTAGGTATGTAAATTGACTCGCATTCGCACTTTGCTTTCATTACACAGACCTTGTTCCTTTCATAGCTGGTATTTCTAGCTTGATGTGGTTTTCAATGAAGGCACAAATATTTTAATTTCACTTGATTATATCATCATACTCATTTAACCTTTTAATGCAATACCTTAAGGAAATATAACTGAGAAAGGGTGTTAAAACTGCTGCAAGCCTTGCAAATCTTAAAGGGACGGTTCACCTAATAATGAAAATCCTGTCATTGTTTACTCACCCTCATGAAGTTCCAAACCTGTATAAATTACTTTCTTCAGTGGAACACAAAAAAGATGCCTCATTAAAAAATGTTGTCCATACAATCAAAGTCAATGGGGTCTTGTTGTTTTGATCCCCAATGAATTTCACTATATTGACAACAATAGTGAAAACAAGAAGAAAAGATGTCATGCAAGTTTGGAATGATGACAGAATTTTCACTTTGGTTGAACCATCCCTCACAACAAAGTATACAGCTGCACAGTGAAGTTTCTCTTCTTAATATTAAGATGAAGAAAGATGACTGGTCTCTGCAGGCTTGTCTTTACAGTTATGAGCTTCTTTTTAATCTTATTGGAGCATGTTTAATTTATTTGTGAGTAATCGCCACCAAGCTTTTAGCATTTTTAATCCTGAGCACCATCGTGAAGCCTGTTACTTACTGTGTACAATTCAAATGTACAGTATATCTGTCTTATATCTCATAGCAGTGGATTAAGCTGATTTTACAACCACAGTTGTGCCGTAAATAGTGCTTTTAGCATCAATCACACTTATGTTCGGCGCTCCACGTCGTGACTGAGGCACAGTTACAGCACTCTTCAATCTCACAATTAATGTGTGTTGAATAATGTGCCTTAAGTATGCAGGAGGTCCATCATTTCAATATTGCAGCTTTGGTTTGACCGGGTGAATTATGTGCTTGAGCTGTAGTCTCGTATGGATAGAATCCAGCATCCCAGCTCTGGAGTTAGGTGAGAGTTGCTATTGCTTGTTAAATACTGGATGTATCCCATCCTGCTGAGTGATCTCTTATTTAACAACCCTAAAATTTCATTATCCTAAAACTTTTTATGATCTTGAAACTAGAGCCCGACCGATATATCGGTATCTGCCTTTTTTTTACTCCCTAATATCAGTATCGTATCGGCCCCAAAAAACCCATATCGGTCGGGCTCTGCTTGAAACACATTAAGCAGGTGCTCAACATTGTTATAGAAGAGCCACTGTGTGCTCCGTCCAAATGAAATTGGAGTCTCTCTCAAGATGTTGTTTTGGAATCTGTTCAGAAATAATTTGGGTGCAGAACACATGCATTTTTGTCTTAAAGCATATCCTGCTGTACCTTCCCTGCCATTACAAAAATGTACCATTTTATTGGATTTTCTTTATTTAGTTACAATTAACATTATATTGTCACTCACCCCTAAAACTACTTGTAGGACCAAAAAACGAATACCTCAAATAGATTAAACATTCATTCATTCAGTTTCACAGCCTGTCTTGTCCCAGTACTCAAGAATCAGTGTAATGAAAGGATCATTACTGGACTTTGACTGTTTAGTCTTTGTATGTTTGTATATTTTCTATAATTAGAACCAAATCATGCTCAAGAGGGGGATCCTATAGAGAGGCAAACAACTTGAGAAGGGCTTAAACACATTATGCAGCAGCTGTGAGTCATATTTCATCATACTTGTAATACGAGGGGAACCTTTGTAAAGAAAATTACCATTATTTTACATTCCAAGAATAGACATTTGCATTTCCTGTGGCCACTTTGGTCTCAAGTAAGTCATTAATATTGTATTTGCACTCAATTTTGCACTCAAAGTTCAGTGTAGAGAGATACAAGTGCAGTTCCTCCATTAAACATTTACCCAGTCTATCATACAGCTGACATGGTGCCATTTAAAATTAGTGTTGATTTGACAGCAGAGTTTGATGCAAGCAGCAGGAAGTCGGTTATAGATTTTTTTTTTAAGTATTAGTGTACTGAAACTGATATAAATAGGGAAACTTATGCGTCAAAACCATTTGATTCCATTCATTTACAAAAGTTAATGTTTCATCCAGGTTTTGCCATTATCTTGGCACTTTGGGTAATAGCCTTAGCGTCACCGTAGCATTTATATGAAATATCAGGCTTGTCACAGTGCCAAGGAATACAACAGCTGACTCTGCTGTATGTGCCAGCATCTTCCTAGCCATTTGAATAGGGGCCTGCCACAGTTGTACAATGTTTTAAATGAGTGGCTTTTAAATGAACTAACCTTGGATGAGCTATGGCGGATGGACTTTAGTTCGCTGAGTAAAAAAGTGGTGTCTGGATCGATTTTTATCTGCAGTATTACTCACAGGTGGCAGACTCGCCACCACTGTCTGCCATAGATCTCTGATTCGTTCAACACCGAATGACATTTGCAGTCAAACACTACTGTGCCGCTGCATTTGTAAGTGGCTCGTTCGTTGTTCTCTTGATTTGAGTTGTATCATAGACAGAGTCTGAGGTTTGGTTTAGGAGGGGTATTGTAAATATTTAAACTTGAGTGCCATTGATTGGCACTGCCTTGGTAGATAAGGAGGATCCCACACTAGAGAGTCACTGCAATCAGCTGGCAGTGTGTTGGTTCGAATTTCAAATGTCGCAACTGAAATATGAAAATCCTTGATACCAAATTGCTGCAAAATGTGAAATGGAGACCAAGATGATTTTTGCATTGCAACATTAAACTCAGGCTAATGTAAGC